CTCCCTGGGGGCTTACATCTGCCCCCAAAATATTTCGCTCGCCAAGGGTTATCGACTCCCTGGGGGCTTACATCGCCCCCAAAATATTTCGTTCGCCAAGGGTTATCGACTCCCTGGGGGCTTACATCTGCTCCCAAAATATTTCGTTCGCCAAGGGTTATCGACTCCCTGGGGGTCACATCGCCCCCAAAACATTTCATTCGTCATAGCAGGAACCAACGCTCCTCCTCGTGAGGCCCCACTGGGTCCTCAACATGATCAATTTCTACTTACTTCTCGAACGGTTCAGATAACCAAAGAAGACCTTCAGCGTATGATCACGGAAGATTCAACTCGTGCTGCCACTGAATCAGTGGCACCATATATCGCCAAGGTGGGGCATCTCACCCCAGTGGTTCGTGATCGCCTCATCCTAAATGGGGGGCTATCCCATCCTAAAGTTGGGCATCACATCTCAAGGGTGGTACATCCACTTACCTTTCAACCCCAAGGGGTTTCACATCCCATCAAGTGTTTCACGTCCCTACTTCAAAAACAGAAAAAATGGTATGACGCGCACGCGCGAACCAATGGCACAACCATGCGCATCCACCTCAGACCATAGGTCTCGAACGCCTCATCCTACAGTGGGCAGTTATCCCCATCCTAAGGTTGGGCATCACCCTTACCTTTCAACCCTAAGTGGGTTCACATCCCATCTCAAGGAACGAGGATAATCTCCCTACTCAAAAAATAGAACATCCCCAAGGGGGTGCACATCCGATCTCAAGGAACGAGGATAATCTCCCTACTCAAAAAATAGAACATCCCCAAGGGGGCGCACATCCGATCTCAAGGAACGAGGATAATCTCCCTACTCAAAAAATAGAACATCCCCAAGGGGGTGCACATTCCATCTCGAGGGACGAGGGTAATATCCTATTCAAAAAATAAAACATCCCCAAGGGGGCGCACATCCGATCTCAAGGAACGAGGATAATCTCCCTACTCAAAAAATAGAACATCCCCAAGGGGGTGCACATTCCATCTCAAGGAACGAGGGTAATATCCTATTCAAAAAATAAAACATCCCCAAGGAGGGGAATATCAACCAAATAAAAAAAAAAATAGAAGAAAAAAGAAGAGAATGAAAAAAGAGAAGAAGAAAGAAGAAGAAAAAAGAAAAGAAGAAAAAAGAAGGAGATAAAATAAAAAATAAAAAAAATATGTATATATATATATATATTTTAGCCAAGCCGCGCGCCCCCCGAGCCGGCCAA